TCCCCTCCCCTCCCCTCCCCCTCCTCATCCTGTCCCCTCTGGGACACCCCCTTTTTGAACTCCTGTTCCCACCCCACACTAATCCACAGAGTGGGTTTACGTCTCAATCCTAATCACAGATAGTAGTAGCTAAGCCTCAATTACGTTTTTATTAGAAATCCAGTATTCTACACCTCGCTCATGTAACCCCCGTGAGATAGTTTTTAAGAACACAGTCCCTGGCACCATCTTTGACACCTGGGATCAAGTCCGAGTTTCGCTGCTTTGCAGCTGTGTGACGTTGGGCAAAGTATTTAACCTCTCTGTGCCTGCGTTGCCTTCCTGTCGCGCGGGGCAGTAACAGTGCCTGGCTTCTACGACTGACATGAGCATTAGATCCGAAAGTTCATATGAAGGGTTCAGTGTGCAGAGGGCGCCTGCCATCGGAGTCAGCTCTTACTGTGTTAGCCCCGTTCTACCGCCGAGGAATTGGGGTCGGGGAGGTCCCTTAACTGGCCAGAGCCTCTGACACAGTGGAGGCAGGACTCCGACCCTGCCAGCGCCTGTCAGATTCCAAGGCCCACCTTCTTCACCATTCCACTCCACCACCCCCATCAGCTGACCACGTGGGCGCTGGGCCATAGGTGACCACTCCAGGTCTTGTTCTCGCTGGTTCAGGAAAAGTCTTCCCTACTCACTTCTCAGCCCCCAGCCCTGACCTCAGCAGAAGCCTTGGGCTGGCTCTGGGGAGAGGAAGGCCCCCATTGGGCTGGGCTTGGCATGGGTGGTGGGGAGCTTGGGCACAAGTGCAGAAGGAGGGCTGAGCCCATGCCCACTGCCCACAGGTTCAGAACCTCGTGAGCCACTGCACATGCCCAGTTCAGTTCTCCATGGTCAAGGTGTCCGAGGGGAAGTACCGTGTGGGGGAGTCCAACACCCTCATCTTCATCCGGGTAAGTGTCTGGGTGAAGGGCCCCAGGGTCAGCAGACTAGGATTTCCTTCCATGGGACCCTGCCCAGGCCTGAGGGCTAGAATAGGAAGTCACCGTTCATCCCAGCGTATCAGGTCTTGAGGCTTGCTTCCTCTTCCTGGAAACATTCCAGAAGATTCCTCACAAAGTTGGCAAGCCTATCCCCTGCTTCCATTGGGGCAGCCAGAACCACCCCCACCATTTGCCTCCAACTTAGCCTGATTCTGAGGGGTCCCCAGGCAGAAGTGAGGTATGAAGGGTCCTCCCAACTTCTATCACCGCCACTCCACCCACAGGCGTGGTCAGAGCAAGGGGCTTGAGAATCCCAAGTTTGTGTCCAGTGCATGGCCCAGCCACAGGGACCTCATAGTTCACCCCTCAGGTGCCTGGCTTGGTACCTTCTGCAGTGTGAGCAGTAGGACAAGGTGAAATGTACCTCCCGCCCCCCCCCCCCCCCCGCCCCCCTCCGATCCATACCTGGCTGATCCTCTGCAGAAACAGTCTGTACCCAGGGGAGTGGCCCGCAGCTCAGGGACATGGCCAAGCCCTTTAGGGCACAGGCCACAGCTGGGGACAGAGCCAGCTCCCTAAGCCCGCACCCAGGCCCTGAGCCAACAGCCCTGTGAAGTAGGTTGGGGCAAGGAATTGTGGCCCCACTTTTCAACGGAGGAAATGGAGGCCTAGAGAGACTGTGTGACCGAGTGGAGTGGGGCAGAGTCCCCCGGAGTCTTTGACACACGCTGCAGAGCCAGGGCCCCGTTTCTAATACAAGCATGCGCAGGGGGAACCCTTTACTGTGAAGGGAGAGGGAGGGCTCTGCGCCAGACGGCACAATGCTTGTGCGATGCCTGGTTTCATTGTGGGACAACTTTCTGTTTGACCTGCCTCCACCCTTGACAACATGTGTCATCTGATGCCCATCACAGAGGAGACTCAGGTGGCAAAATATGCACACGTCCAACTACCAGGGGATATTTGCATGTGTACATGGGTGGGGTGTGTGCTGGGAGCCAGCAGGCTGGTCCAGAAAGAGGGCGCACTCTCCATTTTGCCCTCTATCTTATACTTGCCCCCCTGCAGGTCCTCCGGAACCACGTGATGGTGCGTGTCGGGGGCGGCTGGGACACCCTGGGCCATTATCTGGACAAACACGACCCCTGCCGGTGTACCTCCCTCTGTGAGTCCCTTGCGAGTCCCCTCCCTGCGCTCTGGGTTGGGAGGCTGGAAGTGGGAGGTAGGTATGAACTCCAGGGGCAAGAGGTGTGTGGGGTGGAGGTGGGGGATCTGGAGAAAAGAAGATGCTATAGAAGGTACAGGTGTGGTGCCCCCTCAGCCCTAGAAAAAAGCTGAGCAGGCATGGTGCAATACCAATTCTAGCCACAGGATGGCGCCAAACACAGAGAATCAGCATTTGGTCAGGGTGCATCTTGGCAGGGCTTAGGTCTGGCTGTGATGTCCACAGCGGTGGCACCAAGCATGACCTGGAGGGGTCCTTAGTCCTCCAGTAATCTCCACCACCACCTCCAGCCCCCTAATAAGCATTCATTCTACGTAAAATATGTGAACTTGCAATACAAATGCAGCTTTAAATAAGTCCCCTGCTGAGCCCTCGCACCGGATTTCATCCCCGGAACCCCTATTAGAACATTCTGGCACTGGTGCTGTCACTGTCCCTGTAGGTCCCACTGTCTCTAATGTGGGGCGTGGAGTGTGGAACAGCTGTGGCGAGAGCCAGAATGTCATCCTTTCCTCCCCTCCTCTCTGGGGGGCTGTGTTGGTAGCACACAAGCCAGGCAGCTTCCTGAAGCCCCCGGTCCCACCGGTGCAGCATGAAGTGAGGGTGCTGGATGAGCCCTGGCAGCCACAGCCTACGATGACCATCAGCCGCTCTCAGAGCCCACTGCCCCCTGTGGACTGGAAGACATACACCTCTTCAGGCCGGAAGCTGAGGCCCCCCGCCTCCTCCCACACACCTCGCAGTGAATGGTGAGCAGGGGCAGGGGTCCTCAGAGAGACACCACCATTCCTGAGGTACACGGGAGGGACGGCAGGGCCTCTTTTTCCTTTGGAGCCCACATTCTCAGAGGCCACCCCACCCCAAGATGAAGGGAATGAGTCTCTTGGCAGTACCCTCACCCCAACAAGACCTCAGGTGTTCAGAACCAAAAAAGCACCCAATACCTTTGGGATTATCTAGTTACTTCATGTGCTCCCATTTCACAGATGAGGAAGCTGAGGCCCATAAAAGGAACAGGCTTATGCAAAGGCCTTTCTGCCATTTCATGGTAGAGCAGACACTAAGACTCCCCTGCCACCTAAGACTGGTGACCTGCAGTTGCCTGGTTTGAAGTAACCCAGGGTGCAGACCAGGCTGCTTTCTACCTGCTACAGGGAAATGATGGAGAATAAAGTTAAACGGTATCTGCCATAAGGAATACCCTTGGACAGACACAGAGGGAGAGGGAACATCTGTTTCCTTCCACATGAAGTCTGGCCCCCTTGGAGTTCTGGTTGGGGAAAGGCCAGCCCTTCCCAGAGCCAGGGGGCTGGATTAGGCGACCCTGACAGCCTTATGATTCTCCCTTTCAGGCGCCAGGAGAAGCCACCCGCCCCACCTGAGAGGCAGCTGCCAGCTGGGGACAGCTCACCCAGCCCCCAATCCTCACCCACCCCCAGGGGCCGAGACCCACAGTGCACCTCCTCAGGGAAGAGGGAGGACAGACACCCCCCTGAGCTCCCCAGGGGAAGGACTCCTACATCTTGGGTTCATGAGGAGACAGACAGCTGGAGAACCCATCCCAGGACCCCCACCCCCCAGAGACTCCAAGCCCCTGAGGCTACTGCCAAAGGGACCCCAGCAAGAGGACCATCTCCCCTGCCTCGTTACTCCAGTTCGTCAGCCAAGCCCACGGGCCCCAGGAAGCCGCCTCGGGGTGATGCTCCCTCCCAGCTCAGGGAGCCAGTGTCCGTCCGTTCTCCATCCCCTGTTAAAGGGCCCACCAAGATCCCTGTCCAGCTGGCCCCTGCCCGACCTCCCACTCCAGGAGGAAGCTTTCCAGGTACTGCAAGTGGAGGTCTTACAACAGAACTGGAGAGAAGCTCCGTACCACCAGGGGCTGCCGCTGGAGGCCTGGCTGGGTCCAGTCGTGGGGACTGCTCTGTGGAAGGAAGGCAAGGGGTCCAGAAGGTGGACGTCTGGGTGACAGCAGAAGCCGGAGAGTCCCGGGGCCTGGACACGCCCCTGACCCTGGGTGGGATCAAGAAGCCAGGCATCTGCCATAGCCTTGAGGAGGAGCTTTTGGCCAACATGAAGCTGCTAGAGGTGGGGACTGCCCACCCCCGGGGCCCAGGCTCTGGGCTCATCCCTCGCAGTGGAGTCTACGTCCCCAGCCTGGGTGGGCGGTGGCCTGAGCCTGGGGGTCCTTATGACAAAGTCATCCAAGAACTGGCTCAGGGCCCTCCACCCCTCATTAAAGTGGACCTGGGCGCCAGGAAGGCTGCCCCTCCAGGCTCCCCTAAGCTGGCAGTAACCACAGGCCCAGGAAGCCCAAAGGGGAAACTGGGAGCCAGAGAGAGTGGGCCAAGGACAAAGGCAGCCCTGGGTGCCAAGGACACCAGGATGAGGAAGGTCCCAGCTCCAGGAGGGCAGGACTGCTCAGCCCCTCCTGTGTCTGCCAGCCTGGAAGCCCCCACACCTTCGCCCTTGGACCCAAATTCTGACAAAGCCAAGGCACGTCCAGACAAGGGCAAGAGAACACTGCGGAAGCCCCGAAGAGTACCATCTATCTACAAGCTGAAGCTGAGGCTCAGACTCCGGCCCCGGAGAGACCACAGGCCCGAGGAGCGGCCTTCACGAATCCCCAAACCCCTGGCCTACCTCCGCTTGGGTCCAGCCAGGGCGCCCCCAAGCGGCAGGCTGGAAAGAGTGTCAGCGCTGGGTGGGAAGGGAGGGGAGGCAGCCCTGGTGGATGGAGCCTGGGCAGGGGAGAAAGAGGAAGGAAAGGAGGAGAAAGAGGCAGCCGTTCCACTGGAGAGCAGACCCCCACGTTCAAAGAGCCCAGGGCCTCAGCAGCTGGATCCGCTCCCACCCAAGGAGGAGTCCTGGGTCTAAGGAGGGGCTTCTCATCCCAGAGCCGGGGAAAAGAATGCCCAGTTAGCCATTGGAATCCCAGCCGCAGGAACAGAAGGAAGGGCCCCTCACCTCGATACAGGGCCTTGGCCAGGAGACAAATAGAGCATCAATCAGCTCAGACTAGCAAATGGGACAACCCATCATCTCCACTCCAACTCCAGAACTGGAATAGGGGCAGTGGGGCCACCCTATACCTTATCACCCTCCCGCAGAACAGCTCCCCAAACTCCGGTCCTTAGGCCATGCCCACTGTTTCCACAATTCTTATGTTATTAAACACGGGTGGGTCTGTCCTGGAGTCTCCAGCTTGAGTCGCTCTCTCTAGGGCTGTAGTGATGCAGGAAAGTGTAGCTTCAAACATTCTCCCACTGGAGGGAAGAGGATCAGGGAGGGAGCTGGGGTGAGAGAGCCGGTCTTTCTCTCCTGAGGTTCAGCCAACCTCGCCCCCAGACAGCCCATCTCCTGGAGGTGGCTGGTGCGTCAGCACCATGGACAGGGACAACGGCCACCAACACAGGCTCCTGTGAGACTTCAAAGCTGGGCTCTGGGGCTTGGGGACTGAGATCCCTAGAGTCAGGAGGGCTGGTTAACATATCTACACCCGTGAAGTTATGACAGAGGGATCACAGAGGCTCAGCGGTGAGCGAGGCAGACACAGAGGCAGAAACTGGGACTGAGTCCAGTTATGCAAGTTGTCCTGAGTGGCAGAGGGTTTTGATCAGTGGGAAGGCTCAGGGGTAGGTGGAGAGGAGATGAGTCCCAAACTCCTCCCCTTGGTTCTTCTGGTTGTCCTGAGTCCCAAAACTCGGGCCACCCCATCACCCTTCCCCTCCTTGCCCAGCAGAGCTCTGTAGGGAGCCCCTTCCTTTCCACCCTCAGAAACTGAGCCAACATCTTGGTACAGAAACGAGGGAAAACACTCCCTGATTTTTAATCTGACTTCCGATCACAGCGCATTGGGCGTCACACACACTTCCAGACCCTGTGGTGGGAAACCCTGGGTGGGTGGGGGGAGGCAGGGAGAAGGACAGAGACTCAGAATGGGGGTGGAGGAAATGGAAATCAAAGACCTGGGTGAGCAGAGGGGGGTGAGGTGGGACAGGCAGGCAATACATTCCAATGGCTCCCACAGGGGCAGCCAGAGGCCTGGGTCCCCCACCCCCACTTCAGGTGCCTCAGAGCTGGGGGTGACGGTGGTGATGAGATGCTGCCATCCCTTACCCTGTCCCCCTGGTGAACCAGGGAGCAGGATGCAGGGGAGGAAGGGGGCAGGCCCTCTTCCGTACCCTCCCAGCCACTCAGGGGGTGGGGAAGGGGAGCCACCTCCTCTGCTTCAGAGGGAGGCTCAGAGGGCGGGTCACTTGCCCCAAGTCACGTAGCACAACAGGGACTACAACCAGGGGCACTGGACTGCCCGGGTCAGGGCGGTCCTTGTAGGGCTGTGCTACCCAGGTGGGTGGAGGGGGAATCAGCTGGGAAATTCATAGATTCCCTCTCACACTAGATCTGGATGATAAGCTCCCCACCCACAACCCCTCTCCCAGACTCCTCTCCATCACCGCTCTGGGCTACCTGATTTCCTGATCTATACAACAAAGCTGGGCCAGGTCAAGGCCGAGATGTTCTATCTGCCCCTCTTCTAACCTTGCTGTCCTCCCATCAGCCCAGGGCTGAGGGCTCAGCCTCAAGGAGAACTTGGCCTGGGGGCAGGGAACACGCACCATTGTGTGGCCTCCAAGTCCCCCAGGAATCCCTCAGGCCGCTCCTGGTATCTTCATTATTTTTGTTATTTCTAAGTCGGTACAAAACTGACAGTGATCAGCTCTGGTGAGGAGAGGTAGAAACCCGGCCAGGCAGCCGGAGAAAACGGGGTGGAGTGAGTCAGGGCATAGGGCCAACTGGTGTTGGCACAAGGAAGTGTAGATCCTGAGGGCCTCCAACCAGGAAGTGGGGGGGGCAGAAAGCGGGCATATCTCCCTCAAGCAAGGGGTCCCCATAATTCTTTTTCTGGCTCTACCCCTCCCTAGATTAATCAGGGTAACCTGAGATTCAAGCAGGGGCATCAGATTGGGGTGGATGGAAAAGCAGAGCCTTTGCTGGCACAACCTGGGCCCCAACCTCCACTCCGGGACCCAGCCTGCCCCCCACAGCTCCCCAAACCCAGCACCCCCCAATCTAACACCACCCAATGCAGGAAGGAACAGGGGGATGGAGCCTGGCGTCATGGAAGTAAATCTCTCCTTTGGGGGATTCCCTCTCCACTCTCTGTCAGGGGAAAAAGTTCTAACCCAGGGGGTGATCTGGCTTTGGGGTCAGTAAGGGGGTGAGGGGCACCCGGCAGGAACGGACCATCGAGTTAAGGCTGGAAGGTAGGTTGTTGTGTCTCGGGGCTGCTGGGTGGGGAGGTCTCCCTGGAGAGGGCAGAGCTCAGCTTTCTCCCCTTAACTAATCTGGGACCTCAACCCTCGGACTGAAGGTGGTCCTAGGACCACCCGCATCTCTCTGTCCTGCGCCGGTGGTGCTGCGGGCCAGAGGGGCACCAGGATCTGCAACAAGGAGGTGGAAGAAATGAGAGCCCTGTGAGCTGAGCTGGGGGCGGGGAGGGGACCAGAGAGTGGGTAAGGCCAAGAGACACTTGGGCAGACCGATGGGCACGGGAGGAAGGCGCGGGGCAAGGACAGACACACTCTCTGGAGAAGACTCGCGGGGGACCGGCTAAGGCAACACCTCCCCTTCCCCACCCTCCATTTCCTGCGCGCACCCCAATCCCAAAAGGCTGTGGCGCCCCTTGGGGCCAGGCTGGGTACTGCGCCAACCTCAGCCCTAAAGGAGCCGTCCCAGGAAGACAGATTGGAGACAGGACTGGGCCATTTGGGGAGACTCCCTCCCGCCCTCCGCCTCTCAACGGGAGGTGCGTGGCGGTGGGGGCGTTTCCGGCCCGGGCCCCCCGAGTTCTTTTCCTGCCACTCGCTGCTCAGGCCGGGCAGTCCCAGCAG